CTTTACAAATCTAGTCACAATCCCTATAAAAATCCGATAAATTCATGTACGCTTTCTTTATTGTTTTTATAAGGAAAATAAATTTTACAATATGTTATATTTCAGCTCGATCCGTGGAAAGCGTGGGATTTGGTGACGGAGAAGAGTATTCGCCTTTTGTATCCGATGCTGATCCCTCATCATCACCATCAAGCCTCTTCCGCCCCATCATCATACATCCACCACAACACACAACAACAACTACATACTCTGCAATGTACGTTTCGCTGCGTTTTATCGATTACGCTATCAAATTCATAGAAGGGGCTGGGTAGCTAGGAGCCAATGGATGCTTTTTGGCTTCAATGGACCTTGAAAAATCGTTTTGAGAGCTAGTTGGAATCCCGTTACACTATGAAATTCATTAAATCAGGCAGTCATGCCGTGCCGAAATTCCATAAGAAAAAGCGTCTCATTGCGTTTTATCGATTACGCTGTGAAATTCATAAAAGGGCTGGGTAGCCGGGAGTAAATAGATGGTTTCTTGGCTTCGATGGGCCTTGAAAATATGTTTTTTGAGAGCTGGTTGGAATCCGGTTACGCTAAGAAATTCATTAAAGGTCCGGGGAAGTCAGTGCGAGCCGGAAATCCATAGCATTCTGAGAAAATCAAGTTTTCGCACTCGCGAGAAAATCCATATATCGGGTGTTCCCGGTCGATTTTTACCTTAATTACCATCAAAAATGGTGTGTTTCGCGCTTAATCCCCAATTTGGACCAGAGGGGTATCAAACCCAAAAAAAAAAAAAAATCTGATTTATACCCCCGTATTAAAAAGTTCTTTGAATTAAAAAAAAAAAAAAAAAATTTTTTTTTTTTTTTTAATAGTGGGTTTTTGGAACCCAAACCCTTAGTGAGAATATCCGGTAGGCCTACGTTACTTAAGAAATGTTTTCCAAAAAAAAAAAAAAAAAATTTAATTTTTAAAAAAAAAAAAAAAAAAAAAGCGGAGGATCGGAAAGTCCAACCAAAATCCAAAGGCAAAACCCAATTTTTGCCTTCAATAGCTCTTTAAAATCCACTTTGACATTGAGGCCCAATGACGCCATAAAAAAGACGGTCAATAGACGAAATCCAAAATGAATCGGACTCTTCAACGCCAATTTTTGCCTTCATTAACCCTTTAAAATCGTGTTTTTCGCCTACTCCAGCTCAAAAAGCACAATATCCCCAGACCAGAAATGAGTCCACAAAAAAAACCTGCGCGCCGAAATTGAGTCAAATTAACACGTGGTAGCTGCGTGGGGGGATTCCTGAATACAACATGCACACACACACCGTCACTCCGCCATAATACAATTGACGGTACCTCCCTTCAACCATTATTATTCCTATCCAATTACGGGGTGCAAAATAGGGGCCATGGGCTCGATAGCTGGATCAAATTTGGACAAGCACACGTTTTTTTCTATTTTGCGCCGCCCGGGGCGAGTAGGCGGGTGGTGGTGGAGGACCAAAGTGATCTGCGGTGATTTTGACGGGGGCCGTATTTGATTTGGTTTTTGGGGGTTGTGATTTATGGGTTGCTGATTTTTGGCTGGGTTTGTCATGTCATCTAGCGGCTACCGCTTTACACAACTGCATCAGATTTTTTTATTTGAAAAGGAGACGTAGGTTCCGGGAAATCGAGTTTTTGTACGAGGGGTTAAGACGAGCTTGTGCAGAATTTTGCGCTGATTTCGTGCCTGGTTTCAAAAGCTGCGAAACGCTGCGCTCGAAAAAGTTATGAAGCTTTTTGGGACGCAAAAAGCGAAAATTTGCTAAAATTGGGCTTTTGGACTTTTTCGCAAGCTAAAAAATTATTGAAAGTACCGAGAAAACACGGGCCATGGATTTTGCGACGCCCCGCGACGCGCAACGCGCTGCACCTTTTCATTACGCACTCGTTTACGACCCTTATTGGCCCACGCAAGCGTCCAAGTGTCCCGGGGCTAGGTGTACTGCACGCATTTTTCGCGCGCGCGTACGCGGGCGCGACATAGCCACAACTTTTTAGCTACCGGGGCCCGCGTTCGTATTTACGCGACGCGCCTAGCGCATGCGTTGCGGTCTTTCCGTGCTTTAAAATCTACCGGACGCTTATTAGGGCTTACTGTTCCCAGGGCGGCCCGTCTGCGTTTCGTGCGGCGTCGCGTGTCGCGTCACGTCTCTGAAGCGCTGAAAATTCCAGAGAGCTCTAGCTTGCCTTTAAAGGGACCGGGGAATTCATGAATTCAACGAATTTTTTAGCCATCTGATTTTTGGTCAGCCGCCAAAATTGAATTCGGCGACGCGAGGCTGCATTTTTCGAAGGTTTTACCTCTTGGGGATACTGTATGGAGGCTGATATTCGACCCCCCGGTAGCGCATTTTTCATTCCAGGTGTTTAGGCTAATTTTATCTACCGTATTAGCCGTTTTTACCGGGTTAGACACCAAAAGCCAAAGCGCTCTAGACGTACTTCCCAAGCGACTGTGTGCGCTTGGGGGTTTCCATAGTGTTACTGACGTCCCAGGTATTTTTGGAAGGGTCTTTTTGACCCTTTAACCCGGAGTTTTACCACTTTAGCAATTCGTTAAAAAATGCTTCAGTTTTGAATTTTTATAAAAATTATATAAAACTGTTTTCGACAAGCCGTAACCCTGAAAAAAATTCTTTTCAAACCGCCAAAAGCCGCCTTTTCAAATTTAAGACTAACTGAAGTCTTTTCCGCCCTTTCAAGTCCAGAAATTACATCATTTTATGCCATTTAATCGAGCAGATATCATGACAAACTGCGCACAACTTTAACCTATATAATCTATATATCAGGTTCAACAGAAAAACACATAAAATCACCCGTGCCATTTTCACCTCCCACTTACTGCACGATTTGTGGCGTCAAAGTTCCGTTTGCCCTTTCAAACTTTCCCCCCTTGCCGCGCAGTACGAGATGATCCCGTGCTCACCCCCCGGGTTCCGCCTCCCCACTTTTGGGGGGTACGGTAGCCGGGTGGGGAGGGAGGGGAAAAGCCCCCCGAAAAGACCCACCTGCCCCGACGAGGCCACGCCCCCTTTTTTGGGGCCCACGCGGACTGTCCAAGGGGGCCCATTCCATATTTCGAGACCGACTCAGAATTTCTGGCTCTCCCGAAAAATTGAGCTAAAGCTTCAGCTACCTTTCGACCCCCCAAAAAAACGCTTGAAGATGTGGATCGACGTGGCGCAGGCCTGTGGGTGATTCGAGGATAGATATACTGTCATGGGGGCGCGGTTTAGAAGGGTGGAGGGCCCTGGAGGCAAATAGCTATGGCTTCCGCCCAAAAAAAAGTCTAACATTTTAAGAAATTCCATTTTTTTCATGTGAAGCTTACAGTTTGAGGCTTTGAAAAAGTGCCAACAACCAGAAACCCGATTTAAAGGGCGGCGGGGGGGAAAAAAACACATTATTTTAAGCTGATTTGTTTTTAGTCAGCATAAAGCAATCTAAAACAAAAAAGCTTTTCAACTTTTTTTAAAGCTAAAGGTCTCGAACCGGTCCGAAAAAGCATTAACTTTTTCAAAAAAATGAGATGTTTTTGCCTAGCTTTGCAAATCCTTTAGAGTGGTTAGGGAGTCGGGAATTTTGAATAAATCTCGAATAAAGCTTTAAAAATTGGGGGAAATTCCTAAAAATCCGAATTGAATGAAAATTTGGCTTTTTTTGAAATTCACCTCAAAAAAGCATGTCGATTTTTCTGACTTCTCCACCCTTTTAAAAACCACACTATTTTAATTTAGCCCTTCCAATTCTCAAAAAAAAAAACAATTTCCTACCGTATCCCGGAGGCCAAAGTTCAGAAAAATATGTCCAATTTTGCTCTTTCGCAAAAATGAAGGTACACGCGCGAAATTAGAGTCCTAGTTTTCGGGAGTACACGCATAATCTCAAATAGGCTTCACCCCTCCCGCTTTCCCCCCATAATTATCGCTGGTCTCAACACGCCCGGGGCCAGCCTGGCCAAAAATGCTATTTCACGCCCTCTTTCTCCCCGGGCTACCGTAACCCCGCACCCCAGGGAGTACCCAATTATTGGGGTAAAAGGGTACGAGGGACCCGGGTGCGCGTAAAAGTGGTGCACAACGGACGGGGAGGCGTGAAAATGGTGGGTATTGGAAATGGTGGCTGATGCCTGGATAATTATTTTGCACCCGCGGGACAGAGGCCTGATCTTTATAAATTGGCAGAAAATTCCGCCAGTGGTCTCTGCTGGTTGGCCTGGCTTTCGAAAAGTCTAATTTTTAAGCTAAACCCGCTAAATTCCTCAAAAATCTCTGCTGGCTTGCCTTGGCTTTAGCATTTAATCTAATAGCTTATTGAGGAGCCTGACGGTTCCTAAATGATCTCTGCTAGCTGGCCTGGCTTTAAATCCCATTAGTTTTAAGTTAAAAACCGTTAAATTCGACAAAAGTGGCTTCTAGCTGTCCTAAATGGCCTCTGCTGGTTACCCTAGCTTTAGGATACGATACTTTTCTAGCCAGAAACCGTCAACTTCCGACAAAAATTCCTGCTAGCCTGCCCGGAATACAAAAAAAATTGTTATAAACGCTTCTAAGCGTGCATAAAAATTTCCACAATGATCCCTGCTAGCCTGCCCTTCAAACCGTTACTGAAATACCATATAAAACTTCCAAAAATTTAAAAATGACAATTATGCCCTGATTTGCAGTCGCGGGCACCGGGCAAGCTTACGTGGACGCCCTTCTCCAGCTCTACTCCACCCATCCCCAGCTGGCAATGTCCCTTCTCGGACCGTCGTGTTCATCTACAGCCTTGGCAGCGTCACCGCCATGTGACAGTGCCGTGCTGGCTACTCCGTAAGTAAAAAATAATAAGAGGAAAGCTAAACAACAACAAAAAATGCTAGAAGACCTGAATTTCATGCCGTAATCGGTTCCACTGATTGCAAAAAATCCGAATTTTGGGCCATAAAATCAGTAAATAATTCTGAACAAGGTGCGCTAATGAAAAAGTCTAAATTATCGAGGATTACGGTAGTTTTGGTGCCATTTCACGTGACTCAGTGAGGACACATTTTCGTGCCGTAATCGGACCAGTCAGCTAAAAATAATATTTTTAAAACTGTAAGAGGATGAGTAAACAATTGTGAATTTACTCTGCTATTTTACGACTCGAAAAACCACGTCTCTTACGGTAATTTTACCCTTTTTTAGCTCTCCCGACCCTCCGCGCAGCTCGGTCTCCAGCGGAAGTGCATCTACCGACCCACATACCGACATTCTCGTGCCGAGTAGCGACAAGGAGGGATGGTGCCGGAATAAGAAATACATCGAAAAAGTCCCCGCCGGATATATGTGCACCGTTTGCAAGAAGGTCTACGGTAAGTCGAGGGTTTTCTAGCGAAAATCCCGGAATTTCACGATTTTTACGAATTTTTGGTTTTTAGGACGGTACAATTCTGTCTCTTACCATGTGACAATCTACCACCGTAACCCACCAATCCGATGCGAGCAGCCGGGGTGTAATTTCACAACGCGAGAAGCCCGATATATCCATTTCCACAAGTACTACCGGCATCACATTCCGCTGCCGGATACGATCGATTTAGGTGAGTAATTTGGAGCTTGTAGTTTTGCCTCAAAACCGCATAATTTTGATAATTAATATGTATAATATAATATTGTACTAAAAATGTCATTTTATATCCAGGTTTTAAAATACACACCTCACGTTTTTCGACCAGAATCTCAAATTTTATTCATTTTTGGATTTTTTGGATAAATTTCCTAATTGATATCCAGTTCATTTTCACTCAAAACACTATTAAAATATTGAGCATTACCTTATGAAGCTTTTCTGGCCAATATAAAATAGCCCCCCGATAATGGAAAAGAACCTGAAACGTTATTTTTGGACGATTTTGATCTCCAGCCGTACCAAAGTTGCAGTCCGTACTTTTACGAAAAAATTTGGATCAAATCCCATCATTTTCCCGGAAATAAACTATCCCGAATCCCGATAATTTCGATAATTAATGGGCATTACACCCTCCTAAAAACATCACTATGGTCCCGTGTTACCAGGATTTCCTCGCGTAATTGGATAGTAATTACCGCTCGCTGTGGGGGGTGTAGGCGGGCGGAACTGTGAACACGGAATAAATTGGATACTACGGGAAACATGAGAAGTTGAAGGAGTTCAGTTGACGTGGGGGATACGATAAAATTGCAGCCCGAAAATTGGGGGTTAATGGGGCGAAAGTTAAGCGGAAATAAAGGCTAGAAATGCGAGAAAAATGCATAAAAAAAGCCAGATTAATCCAAAAACTATTAAAAAGGCTTTTTAAAAAGCCAAAAACAAGCTTATAAATTTTTAAAAAGTAGTTATAAATAGTTATAAGCATAAATTAAACAATAAACAATCATATTGATACCTTTTTAGGCTCGAGAAAATGCCCATTCTGCCGGCACGTCAGCAAAAGCCCGGCGATGCTCGAGAAGCACATTGCGCGGCATGTCCCGGGGGATAGAACGGTGAGGAAAATATCTTATTAACTAAATTACTTTATAATCGAACTATATAACACTTTAAAACTATATAATACACCTTAAAAACCTTTTTAAAACTTAAATTTTAGGCGCGATCCTCGCCCGCATCCGCCCATGCATCCCCGCCCGCCTGCACCCCGCCGCAGGTAATAAATTGGTTTAATAAGATTTAGATAAACTTTTCTAGGTTTAATCTATGTATAATAAAGCCTATTAATGAATTCTAATATTATTTTAGACAACTACTACCCCGCTATCAGTCCCGCTGGCCGTCTATCCATCCCTAAACGTCTCGCTGTCGACCGGCGCCTTCTCATTCCCCTCAATCCACCATCAACCCCAGCAGATACACTGTACACAGTGTCATTTTACGTGAGTTTTTATAGTTTTCTATATTAATTTAAATTAAAAAACAAAAAAACTCAATTTTTTTACCTCAAAAATCGCGCGATTGGCTTTTCCTTGGCGACGCCGCGCTCCTTTGCACAGTCTTACCAAGTGCGCTAGTGCTTTCACGAGCAAAATTAAGTTAGTATGAATTAAATTAGTCTTTTAATAGCGTAGAAAGATTTAAAGATTTCGAACCTAATTCTAAAGTAGAAAGTAGCTCGATTGGTACCTGGTTACGCGACGCGAGGTACCCGAACACTCGTACCTAGTGCCCTAGTTGCTTCAGGGACGTAGCGTAATACAGGCCCCGGGGGCCCGGGCCCCCCGCCCCCCGAAATCGGCCCGGGCCCGAAAATTTCATAAGGGGGACCCTTATGATTTTTATTTTCTCAAAAATTTTGCTGCCTGCGGCGCATTTCTCACGTTTTATGCTATTTGTAGAGCTATGTAGCCTTTTTTCCAAATTTTTTCGCCTGCGGCGCTGTTTTCTCCATAATTTTTTGAGTTTTTCGGAAAATTTTTCGGGGCCCGTTTTTCTGGCTACGCCCCTGGTTGCTTTACATCGAAATATTCCAAAATATCGATTAAATCTAAATTAAATAAAAGAAAAATGAAGAATAAAACCAAAATAAAAATAATATAAGCTATTTCAGGACAGACACCGTCCTTTCCCTCAGCCATCACCTCACCGCCGCCCACGCGTCACTTACCTTTACCAAGTGAGTTTTGAAAGAAATTTTCTGGCTTCAAAATATTCCATAAAATAACTACTGACATATAATATACGTTTGTCATACTTTAACAATACCTTCCAGATGCACCCTATGCGATTTCGAGTCGACAAATGCAAGCCTACTGCTCCAACACATCCAGGAGACCCATCAATAATTCGGCTTTTCTTGTGTAAAAAATGTTTACCGTAAAATGTGCCAAATTTGAGGTCCCATTCAAAAGTTTTTGCTTTCATCTTTTTCTCTATAATTTTCCACACGGGACCCATGAAATTAGCCAAAAATTCGAAATATCTCTGAATTTTCACGAAACGGTTCAAGCTCTCGGACCCCGGTTTTTGTCTATATTTTTTATCGGATTGTATAATTGTTCATTAATTCCCCGGGCCGCATTTGATTTATTGGACCTTTTATTGTTGTATAATTTGTGCATGATTGGATTTTATTGATTTTGGTTGCGTGATTATTATTGTTCGTTCATTCCTATTATTGCTGCCGTGACAAATAAGAGAAAGCTGAAGAATATGCGATGATAAATGAATGTTGAAATATCCTGGAGAAACACAATTACATAACAATAAACACCTAATTTTGATAGTGTGCGCTGAAAATATTATAGAGAAGCTACCTTAAAATCAATAAATTTAAACAAAAAAGGCAAAAACACCACAGGATTTAAATAAAATAAATTGGTAGCTTTTTCGATGGAATGAAAAGCATAAAGTTACTTCGAAAAATCTAGCGATAAGAAAATTTTTTTATAAGTTTAATATTTTACTAAAGGAGCTTGAACAAGTTTTGAAAAATTTAAATTCCGGAATTAATAACTTAAAATTACACACGCGAACCCGTTTTTCCGGATTTTTTACCCGAAACGCCACCCAATTCTGGCAAGGTAAGACGAAGCATGAAGCTTGGAGCTGATGAGTGACAAGAAGCCGGAAGGAGATCTCAAGCCTAGCATTCTGACAGCCAGCCAGATTCCGGAGGGATCCAAATGACAGGTCGCAATTCTAGAGCCGTCTAGCTCAAAGGTATCACGACATGCATTTAGCTGGTAAAGACTGCTGGTTTTAAGCATGATAATCTTTTAAATACGGTTTAAAACATATTTATCCTAGCGAGAAAAATTACGTGTCCGTACCGTTTAAAAAATGAAAAACCAACGCTGTTTTTGAGGTTTTTGAGATTTTTCGTTCCAACCCTGCTACGCGTCCCTAGCTGGGCCTTAAATCCCAAATGTGGTCCCGCTCTCCTCCTGCTCCTTTTTATGCGGACAAAGAAGAGTCATTTATATGGGCACCGGCCAAGAGGGCGAGGTCTTTCTCATTTTTTCTAGTGAGTCTCAGCCAAGACGCAGAAAGAAAAGCCCAAAAAAGCGCGACACCAAGACCCCCCGGGCAGTGACAAATCGACCTCGCTGCATTTGGGGGGACAATGGGCTTTTTCTGTTTTTGGATGTTTCATGGATTTTGCTCTTTAAATTAAAATTATCTTGTAATGGCAAAGATGTGTTTAAATTTAAATGAATTTAAATGTATTTATTTTGAAAAAAAAACGTGTTGACCTGCTGTAGAGCGTTTCGGCTTCTCGAGCTCTCTCTCTCTCTCTATCGCTTCGCCTCTCTCTCGACCTCTGTCTCTCTCTCTGTCTCTCTCTCACTCTCTCACTCGTCTCTCTCTCCCTCTCTCTCTCTCTCCACCCATAATTCATTCAGCGAGCGACTCTCCTCGTCTCCGAATATAAACATCAGTCGGGTCCACATGTCCATCCCAGCTTCAGTGGCCCCCGAATTCCACCAAATGGTCCCGCTACCCAGAGCCCACATTTTTGTTTTTTTTGCCGTCTGGGTGACTTCATTCCTTGTTTTAATTGATTCTGGACAGCAAAAATTCATCAGAAATTTTTCAAAAATCTTGAAATCTTTTAGAACAATTATTAGCATGAAAAGCGTCTGTAAAAAAGGTTAAAAAGTAATAAACAACCAGCGCTGACCCCCCGCTACGCGGGGGTTCAGCGCTGGCCCTTCCCCCAATTTGAATTTCGAATTTGAATGCGTAGTTTGGCTGAATTCCCGGTCGCACGGACGGACGGACATTAGAAATTTACCAGCGCCGACCCCCCGCTACGCGGGGGTTCAGCGCTGGCCCTCTCCCCCCATAATTTGAATTTGGAATTTGAATGCAAAATTTGGCTGAATTCCCGGTCGGGCGGTCGGTCGGGATCACGGACATTCGAAATTTATATATAGTAGATATATAGTAGATAGGCTAAAAATACCAGAAAATACTCTTTTAAGGCTATTGCAAATTTAATTGATTCATCCGGTTCAAAAATCGAGAAAAAATATAGACAACAGACTACAACATGTCCTCAAAATGTCAGTTTAAAGCTTTTCTAAGTTCCCTGGAAATACCGTCGTTCAAAAATCACGAAAAAGTTCTAAATTATGAAGTGCAGACCACAAAATATTCCAAAATACCCATCGATTATTCCAATTGAATTACCCTGACCTAAATGGCCGCCCAATCCCATCCATCAGACACCCGAATAGAATGGGGAGCAAGAGGGCGGAGAGCATGTAATGCATTCTGCCCCCTCGGCTTGGGGGCTCGAAGCGAAAAACGACCCCCCCGAGCCGTGCCCGCAAAATCATCGGAGCGTTTCGGATGGATGAATCATGAAATATGCATTTCTCTCTCTTTCTCTCTCTCTCTCTCTCTCTCTCTGTCTCTCTCTTTTCCCTGCCTCATACCTGCTCTACTTACATGCATTCAAGCGTCGTATAGGATTTCAGGAAAATCTTGGTCCTATGAATTTTCACCTACTAATCCCTTTGATAAATTAAAATTGACGATTTTCCTAGCTTCAACCCCTCGAAAATGTTGTCGATGATTTTTCGAGTGGATGGTCTTGTTGACAGGGCCATCGCACTTCTTTTCTCTGCTTCTTTCGCGCTTTCTGGCTATCTCTCTCTCTCTCTCACTCTCACTCACTCTCTCTCTCTCTCTCTCTCTCTCTCCTCGCTACAAGCCAGCTCTCCACCACCCAATACGATGGCCCATATCCAAACAGATCATATCACTTTCCGTTCTCTCTCTCTCTCCACTTCTCTCCCTCTCTCTCGCCCTATTTGCTCTACTCCTCTCCCCCCGTAAATCATCTTTGCTACGGCTATCAAGTCGGACATCGAAATCTCAAGCCTTCCACCCTGTTGTTTATTCCTTTAGCCTTATTTTTTCCTTAAACACTATAATTTGGTTGACTAATTTTCTACTTCCTGACGATCAATTAAATAGGGACAAACGGATCCTGGAGGACAAGCGGATTTCCGAAAAATTTATCAAAAACCCCGGCTGTCACGCTACCTTTAAAGCGACCAATCTCTGCTGACAGCTCCTTGAAATATTGCCATTTCTGCCTCAATCCTGGAGGAAAAGCCGAGATTTATTTCCCTGACACTCTATCGCTCAATCCGTGTAGGTGTCAGATTGATCCGTCGGGTGTCCGGATGAATGGTCCTCAAAAATTCATGCCTCGCGGCCCACCCCTGGGTACCCCAGTTGGATGGATGAAGAGAGAGAGAGAGAGCGAGAGAGAGAGAGAGAGAGGCAATTTCCATTCGAGCGTCCGGCGATTTCCCGGCTATTGGATCCGACTGACCCGGGATAACTATGCGGCCAAAGTCTTCTAAAAAGCCAATACTTTGTCTTCCACATTTTTTGATCTCTCGCCGTCTCTCCTCTCTCCCTCTGTCTCTCTCGCTCTCTGGCTCTCTCTCTCTCTGGCTCTCTCTCTGTCTGTCTCTCCCTCTCTCTCTCTCTGTCTCTCACTCTGGCTCGCTCTTTCTCCCCTGGTTTTTCTCGATTTCGACCCCTTTAGCTGCTCTAAAAACTTTAGAAAATCCTATCTATTAATTTCCAATGTATTCCTTTTAATTCCATTACATTCCGTTTCAACTACCACCAGTCCTCGACCCTCCGAAAATTTGACGAGCTCTAATTATTCAGTGGTGGCTTTCGGGGGGAAGAGCTGTAGCCCCCACAAGCGAAAGCGAGTACCCCCTGAAGTGTCCATCTGAAGAGAGAGAGAGAGAGAGAGAGAGAGAGAGAGAGAGAGAGAGAGAGAGAACCCGGGGAGAAAATGGAATTTAGGGTCGTCGGAGACGAGAACGAAACACTCGCAACACACCGCCCACGTATTCTACACACATCTCCATGACACGATGGCGCCCTCCTTCATTTTTGCGCTTTTTCATCTTCATATTCTTTAACTTCTATCAAATTCTCGCCGAAACGACGTGTCCCTTGAAATTTTCGTCGAAACAGTCGATGGGATATGAGCTGGGAACGCAGGTGGGGGTATCTAGTAATGACTAGAAGTTATATATAAACGTAAAAATCCAGAAATATTTTTGAAATTAGCCCCAAAACTCTAAAGATCTCGGCCAAAAAATAAAATATCGATTTCGCCACCATAAATGGACCATTTTCGCAGAAAAAGATTTATGTAAACTTTCTAAATTTTTTTGCGCTTCGATAGCACTTGTAACAGGACCATGACAAAAAGTACAGACTACAGACCCAAAAATTAGTTTTACGACTTTTTTAGTTACAAGTGTGCTGCGGAGTGGCCTTATTCTCAATGTGGCCCATCGGCACCTCTTTCAAAATCACCGGCGATCCGCTACGCCAAAATTTCAACAACAATGAGACGGAGATGTGGAGCGAGCTGCAGGTTCGTACTCAAGTTCTAGAGCTCAAAATTATCGCCTTCAAAATTATGCAAAAAAAATTACTTGTTAAAAATGAAACTTGTAAGACTTTTAAAATCTAACCCACAATTAAATTAAGCTCGTCAAATCAACAGTAATATCCAGTCAACCGGTTCAATAGCTCCAAAACTAAACAAATTTAGCTAAAACTCCTGGAAAAACTGTATTAAATTACAGCTTCTACTGAAAAAAATGAAGCTTGTAAGACATTGAAACCAATAAAATAAGCCAAAAACGTAAATCGCGTAAATCTAAATGTATACAACGTTAAATCACATTGAATACTAAACTTAATTAGAATTCTTATATTTAAAAACAAAACTCTACGCCATTAAAAAGCAATAAAAAAATTCGTTTAAAACCGTCAAAACTCTAAGCAAACCATTTTCCCAGCTCTCGCAATGCAGCGATCGCGCCGAGGCGACCATCGGATTTGTCGAACCACTTCCCGGCGTGAATTGTACCTATTTACGAGGCCAAACTGTTAATTTGCAGCAAAGTAAGCTTTAAAACCCAGCAAAAACCCTCAAAGTAGAAGCGATCGAAATGCCGGCGTGGTACGTGATCTGCTACAAGAAGAAAGAGTGCTCGAGTTGCAGGTATCACCCATCAACAAAAAGGAAAAAGCGCCGTGAAATTTAGGGTGGATGTGATTTGCGCGAATGACCTGTCGGCGGCCTGTTCAAATATCTCCCTGATCGGCTCGGCGACGACGTCTACGAATTCCTCGTTGAAATATTGGTATACGGTGAGTTTTTGCGATAAAAAGACTAATAGGAAACTCGTTCTCAAGGTTCCAAGTTAATTCCGCAGCGCTTTAGTAAAAACAAAACATTAAAATCTAGCTAGGATCTAATTTAAGGTAAACCGTAGGTTTTTCTGCGTCGAAAATAGACTTAGAAAGGGGGAATAGGAATTTACAAGTTAATAGCAACAAAATATATCGATTTTAGTTAAAAGAAAACATCTAGCCCGGATCAAATTTCTGGCATGCTGCAAGCTTTCAGCAACAAAAAAGCCTAGAAGTAGCAAAAGTCAAACTTTAAAAGGATAGTTAAGTTAATCAGTTTAAACCGCAAGATCTAATCTAGAAGCGCTCGAAAAAACCTAAAATTCTATTTAAATTAAAAGAAAAATCCCAATTCTAGGTGGGCCCAAAATACCCGTTCGCCGCTAGCAGTAGCGTTCGAGTATCCGTTATCCGGCAACGATCGATGGAGGTCATTCGAAGCGAAACGCGGAAAGCACGGGTAAGGCGAAGAGGCAGTAAATTAGAGGTATTTCAAATAGCTCTTCCAAACTCTGCAGACTGTCTGACAGATCTGCTAAATAAGAAAACGGCATGAAATTCACCCAATGCTGCGTTTTTAGCCAAAGATTTACGTTGAAAAAAGCCGTAAGTTGTAAAAAACAACCGTTTTCTAGCTGGGCCATAAAGAACATCTCCTATTCGATGGTCTACTGCCAGCCGAGTGGTATATTGTCCGCCGATGTCTCATCATTGACCTCCCCTCCTCGCTGACAACGAACCTAGAATTCGCCTTCGAGGATGGCCCAAATAAGATCTGCGTCGAGGAGGCTTATCGGACAGCTTCGAGCGCAAATTCGCATAGCTCAATTCTTCTTCCACTAATTTTCCTATGCGCAATTATATCCCGGTTATACTAGGCAAGCAAAACTCGGTGCTTTGGCATCATCGGAGGGGGAAACCCGCAGGTTTTTTCGAAATCCATGACGCGTATCGCTCAAAATTACGAAGAAGCCCTTTCTAATACAGCCAATTTTAACCATATTTGAAGGAATTTAGTCATTTTTAATTCAAAAACTTGGCGAAAATTTAACGTTTATCAAAAAAGCTTCATTTTGTAATTTTCAGTAGGAAAATCTATGCTTTTTCTTGTTTAAAAAATAGTGGAAAACTAAGAAATACACGCCATTTATGTCTCGACACTCGGAACCACAGAAAAAGGCTCCCCATCCCCCACCGATAATGCCAAAAAACCTAAAACGCAAAATTTCTTTTTCTCATCGCTCATCTGTGATCCAGCCCCAAACGTATCCGTCAATTACGGGTTTGACGTGTCGTGCAAAAAAAACCCAAGAAAAAGCCGCGACAAACGAATGGCATTTATTAAAATCGAACAACAGAGGAATAAATATATATTACATAACGAGCGGATATGAGAACAGAACATTTTGTGGAAACAGCCACCAAAGGGGGAGAAGACAACGAAGAAATTGGGACGAGAATTCGGTACATAGAGAGAAGTAGGGAGGGGCGAGGTCTGGGGGAAATGGCGAACACGTAGATGGGGCGGCGCTTCAGCAGAATTTCCACCGATTGCCGCACTCGAGGCAGAAGACGAACGTCGTCATCGGCTCGTCGGCCGATCGCGTCTGCAGCTGGGTGTATGTGCAGTTCTTCTTTTGGCACTTGCCGCACTTGAACATCTCCGAGGGGGTGCCTGAAATTTAGGGATACCGAAAATATAATTTAATGAAATTAAAGAATTTTACACCGCCTTAAGTATAAATTTTACAAAAGAATATGTAAAAAAGCCATAAAAACGCTACTGTTTTGATTTTCGGCGCGAAAATGTATGAAAAACGACCAAAATCAGCAAAAAAATCCTCTTCCGGGCCCCCCTTTTTTAAAAAAAGGGGGTTTTTTGTGTGTTTTTTTTTTTTTTTTTTTTTTCCCTTTTTTTTTTTTTTTTTTAAGATTTTTTAAAGAAGGGGGGTTTTTTTATTTTTTTTTTAATTATTTTTTTGTTAAGGCCCCGGAAGGGAGTTCCCCCCAACCCCTTTTTTAAAAAACCCCCTTTTTTTTAAAAAAAAAGTTTTTTTTTTTTTTTAAAATGGGGCCCCTTTTTTTTTTGGTTTTTTTTTTTTCTTAAAAAGAGGAGAGGGGAAAAAAAGAGAAAAGGAGGGGGGTTTTTTTTGGGGTGGGGCGGGGGGGGGGGGGGGGGGGGTATTTATTGGGTTTTTGTGGGGTGGGGAGGGGGGGGGGGGGGGGGGGGTCGCACCCCCTTTTTTTTCTCCTGTTTTTTTTTTTTTTTATTTTTATTCCACCCCACCCTACCCAAGCCAAGGGCAAGAAATAAATTGTCTAGCACCCCCCGATAAGCGAAAAGCGGCAAAATTAATAAAAAGATACTAAAAATATAAGTTAAATAATTTTCCCAACCACAAAAACCTTAATGCTAATGAAAATAATCAAAACCTCGTTTACCTTGTTGCACAGACACTTGGGCGTCGCGAATGGCGTCTTGGGCAAACTTCTCGCGCAGCTTCTTCACCTCATCCGACGCCATGTCGTTCGATGTCATCACCTAAAACATAATAAAATGAAGAATCCCGCTAAAATTCCGTACCGCAAATTTCTCGGCCGACACGACGGCGGTGAGCACGTTCTCGCGGAGGGCGTCGTTCTTCTTCAGGTTGAAGACGCGCGAGCGGAGGGCGGCCTTGTATTTTTCGCTGCTGTTCTTGCCGTTGGACTAAAAAAAGGAATTTCCAAACTAAAAAAAAGTAAAAACTTACGTCGAACAGCTTGGCCTCGATCTTTATCGCCAGCTCCTCCGGGTCGTGCGTACCCTCCGGCAGCGGTTTGCACTTGAGCGAGGTGAGCAACAGCTCACAGGCCTTGATTCGAATCTAAAATCAGCGTTTTAAAGAGCATAGAAAAAAGTTACCTCATCGCCGGCCAGCTCATCGGGTGGGAAGTTGCCAGAGAATGAAGCTTTCTCGGCAGGAGGCTAAAAATACGTATACTAGATAGAAAAATAGACATTCTAATACCTTGGCAATTGGAGGAGCTGTGGGCGTAGGCGCTGAAGTGGTTGCGGGGGCAGACTTGACGACTTCTTTCTCCTTGGGCTTGTCGTGTTTCGGGGAGCTCTTCGCGTCGCCGCCCTCGAACATCGACTTCCATTCCTAAAAGCTGGTAAGCTTTCAAAATACAAGAAATCCAACCTTGACGAGCGCCTTCGCCCTTTTCGCAAACTTCTCGTCGCTGCTCTTCTTGCGCAGCTCGTTTACAGTCACGCCGATCCGGGTATTCTAAAGGAAATTTAGAGAAAAGGTAATAAAATAATACCGTCAAGACAAGAACTGTAATCGGCTGCTTGGCGAGGACCCCGAGTAATTCCAGCGCCTCGTCATTTTGTTTGGCCTCGATTAACTAAAGCAAAATAGACAAAAAATAAAATGGATCTTACTTTTTCTAGTTTACTGCCAATCTTCTTGACTTCTTTTTCGCAAGAAGACATCCTAGGCGCTTTACCTGTAAAATAGGAAATAGATCATGAAAACACGCTCAAAACAACGGAAAAGGCCAACAAAGAATGAGCAAATATGGTTTTAAACGCATCAAAGCTTTGGCTATCCGGGAGTTTATCGCGAATAATTCGAAAAATCCATTTTTGAGCATGAAAAACGTTACTGTAGCCGTAATTTGGCGCGATAAAGACACGTCAGGTCGGTTTTTAGCGTTTCGTACCCGAAAGCATCGAGGAACCTAGCGAAAAACGTATTTTTCAATTCCTGGAACGAAAAAGCAGCGTTTTCATACTAAACTACAACTTTTCGACGTCATAAAAACCAAAGAAACGAAAATGGGACGGCGACGACATTGAATTCGTTGATTGCCGCCGGAGAGCCGGGCTGGACGGGGGACAAACTACGGTTGTCGATCCAAGGGGTAAACTGCGCAAAAGAAGCAGCACGGCAAAAAACCAGAAACTAGCGTAAAAACGTACTTTTCGTTTGTTTCGTACTTTGAAAATATAAGAAAAGAAGATAGTTCATTTGGCGTTCAATGCCTGTCTCTGATTCCAAAGCCCTATTCGCGTAATAAATAAGTTTATCGAACAGCAACTGTGAGGATCGTGTAAAATCTCTGAAACAGAGTGAGAGTGCAAATGCAAGAACGGGGAAGGGAAGGGGGATCGCAAATCCAATGATAATAAGCGGAGGCAAACGAATATGACGCGCGTTGCGAGGGGAAGGGGGACTTTGGCAAAAGCGAGGTGTTAAAGCTTGGCGTCAATTATTATCGGGATGCGGGGGATGGATGTATTTATTTATGTGTTGTTTTTGTATTTGTGCGAGTTTCGAGATCGTGGAAATGTTAATACACCAGGACTAGTTAGAGATCCAATGGGTTTGGGGGGATATTTGGGAACGGGCTGAGGGGAGCGATAAAAAACAAGCAGAATCGAGAGCGAAAATGAAATAAATAGAATTTTTTGGGGGTGCTAATCACCACTATTGGGTGGAGCTCGGCTCGTTCGGCTGGTGCACCGTCTCGGCGAAGGCTTGCAGCTTCTCCAGCGAGTTGTCGAGGGTCAGGCCTTCGAAGTCGGGCTGAACAAAAAGGAAATATATGCTGGGTTTTCCTAGAAACGTAGAAGTACCGAAAAAGGCGGTTTTGGACTCTTAACAAGGCGCGAAACGAACGTTTTTTTGTATTTTGATGACCTCTTATGAGTTCTAGCAAAAAGGATTAGGAAATATCCACTTTTTATCGTTTCTAAGCCCGTTTTTAAGTATCGAAACCCCTTCAAAAACACCAATTTTCAAAAAATTGTGTTTTTGCCAAGAAAAAAGCTAGAATTTTCGTACTAATATTTGCAAAAAAAACTATAAATCTTAGTCTTTATGCGAAGCTAAAAAACTCACATCTCCTTGGGCGCCCCAGCTGATGACGTCGAATGCACACTTTTTGATGGGCGCGAATGCCGGGTGGTTCCAATTGGCAAGCTCCTTGGCCTCCTCGTCCTTCTCCTTCTGGCGCTTCAAGTTGGCGTTGATCTGGCACTAAAATAAAATCAAAATGCGCAAAAAAGAGAACGCAAACCTGCTTCTTGGCCTCGGCGAGCACGCGGTCGATGAGGTCTTTGTAGTCGACCTTGTAGAGGTTCTTCTCGGGCGCAGACTTCATCCTGCCCGGCATCGCGTCCTGCGTGTGGTTGGCCAGGGCGCCGAGCACCGTCCGGAGAGCAGCGACGGCTAGGGCGTGCTAAAATTTAAATTTTGTAAAATACAAAAAATGCAATGGATAAAAATTTAAAAATCAAGATAAAATTGCATTTAAGCTTACATCTCCAGCGCTGGGAGCTTCAGCAGCCGGGGCCTCGGCTTGTTTCTTGGCGGGCGGCTCGATGGTCTCGCGCCGCTTGGCTTCACGGGCCGGTGGCGGAGGCTGGGCAGTCTGAAAAGAATTTTTGGTAATTTCCCAAAAATGGCGGACGAGATTTGCCCATAATAACAATTATTCTAAATTTAGATATCCTTCAAGTACAAAAACTATT